TCACTCATCTTCCAGACTACATGAGACAATAGACGCCCAGGCTGAGATCTTCCTCCACCTCTCCTGTATCTCCCCCTCCTGCAGAGAGTTCCTGAGGAGAGGAAAGCTCCTGCAAGGTGTGACAATCTCCCCCACCAGTTGAAGAGCCCCCCAGGTGGCTCGACGCACCGGCGGCACCCTGCCCAGGGATGGGCCCCCATGCACCCACCCGCCCACAACCCCGGCAACACACCAAACCAGGACCCAAGGCCCCGAGGCCCGGCCAGGGCCCCAGCCCAGAGACGGAGCGCCCCCAGAACCTCACGCCCATCCCGGACCCACCCAGGGGCAGCCAGGCTACCAGGTCAGTAACCCACGTCCGTCAGCACAGACCCTCCCCTAGCCCCGCTGCACGCAGCCACGAGGAAACAGTCACCCGAGAGCCAAAAGAGCCCCCACCGGACATGACCGCTACCCCGGGTTGAGCCCCCCAAGGAAGATGCCTCCGGGGAACCCCCCGACGCCCTAAGCCTGTCCCTACCCCCACACCAATCACAACAATGAAGGCGGGACCAAACTATGACCCCCCACCCCCACTAGGTGATGGAGCTGATCAAAGGAGCCCAGAGCAATTGATCTGATGTGGTGGCAGAGGCTGTATCAAGACTAATGTAATCTAATAGATAATTTCTATATTGGTTAGAATTAAGATTATTTTTATTTTTCCAGTTCAGAGGACTGTTTTCTTGGCTATGCATAGGGCAGTGAAAACCATATGGGCTATATTCTTTTCTGAAGTGACATTATCTAAGCTGCCCAACAAACACACTAAGGGGGAAGTTGGAATGTTACATTTCAGACACTTTGATAAGTCTTCACATATCTCGCGCCAAAACTTTGACTGGTGGACAGAACCAAAGAGCGTGGATTAATTGTCTGGTGTATTGCCTTGACAGTGTGAGCAGTTGTTGGAAGATGTAAAGCCCATCTTGAACATCCGATGACCTGTATAGTGCACTCTATGTAGTATTTTGTATTGTATTAATTGCAGACTGGGATTTTTAATTAATTTAAAGGTTTTTAAGCAAATCTGAGACCAGAAGTTTTGGTCTAGTTGACTGATAAATCTGCTTCCCACTTTGCATAGGAGGGATATTGATTCATCTAATTTAGAAAGTGTTCTGTATATTTTAGATAATAATTTGGGGGATTTAAGAGTAAGAAATGTGCCGCACTTGGTGGTGTTTGTAATTCAACTTGACTGAGGTTAAATTTCTTTTTTACTATGGATTTAATTTGTTGATATTCTAAAAATCTTTTCTTGTTGATCCCATATTGTGCAACTAGTCTGTCAAATGGAATAAATTCTGTTCCCTCTAATATATGTTCTAAGTATTTAATTCCTTTACAACTCCATTCTGGGAAATTAATCATATTATTGTTTTGTAATATGTCAGGGTTATTCCAGATAGGTGTACGTTTGCATGGGATTAATGAAGACTCCGTTATTTTTAGAAACTCCCACCATGCTGTCAGAGAAAAGCTGATGTTGATACTTTTAGTTTGTTAAGTGAAAGAAACACTGCCCACTTGCTCACTGATCATGTACTCTGGCTATACGACATCCCCTTGGACATAATCTTTGACTCTTGGCCCGGGTTCACCTCGCAGGTATAGAAACAACACTGTTCAGCAATTGCAGCCAGGTCAGTCTTTCATCCTCAGAGTAAGTGTCAAACTGAGTGAGTAAATCAGGAGCTGGAAGCCAGCTTTTGCTGTGTCACTTCGGCTACTGGACGGTCCCCATTTGAATCATCACTTGGGCATCATCTTCCACTATTCCCCACTACAAAAGGTGAGCTCTCTGTCCCTTCCATGCAGCACCACCTTCACCACAGTCGCACCTTCATATCCTCCAGGTCAGAAATTGGTTTTCTACCAAAAAATGTTTCATTGCATACTGAGTCAAAGAAATGATCTCTCAACTTCGTTGGATCTTTTGAAATTAAATCCATGACCAACCCAGTGTCTGCTCACCTGAAACTGCCTTGTAACATGACGATTCATACATTTTTCCATGCCTCTCAGTAAAAACCACTCTGTTATGTCTAGGCCCCCCACGAGCCCAGTTCAATGACAGTCAGCCAGCCTTCCCTGTAACACGAATCCCAGACACTATGGGAGAGGCTTCCAATATGTGGTTGACTGGGAAGGTTATGGTCCAAAAGAACACTCCTGGGTGTCGCAGATAGTCAGGGAATTCCACCGTAGGCATCCCAACAAGGTTGGAGTGTCGCCATGAGGCCCTGTGGAATCAGGACTTTTTCTATATTATTATTGTGTTTGAATTATTGGTTTATCTTCACTCTGTCCTCAGTAAATCTTTCGATTGAGTGCCTCCTGCCTAGTTACCCCTTGACAATACACAAACATAGAACATAGAAGCAGGTTAAGATGTACCTGATGTTAACACAGAAATGCCACCGAATAATGAACCAGTTAAAATTGGATTCACCAGGCTTTATTTCTTCATTATGAAAGCAGGTTTAAAGTAAAAAACCAAAAATGCAGCGACAAACTACAATACGGGATAATCTGTGATTTATTATAATATTAGTATAATAAAACCTTAACTTTCAGTTATTTTTGTATCAAAGAAAACTGTCATTACACAAGCAGTTCAAAGGATTTGGGTTTTGTTTTTGTCTATTTCCACACTTGTACTTCCATATCTTTTTTGTTCTCCGCAGGCAGAGTCATGGCTGAAGCTGTCATCTCAGCCTGCCCTGTGACCACACTGATGACTTTTGCACTTCTGCTGAATCTGAGTACAGTACTTTACTGGGTAGATGGCAGAATTCCATCAGATCATTTAACCTCCTTTGGCACTATGTGGATCCCAATGAAAACCTGTTATCACTTCACAGCTTTCCTTAACTCCTTGTTTCAGTCTGTTCCACAGCTCCTCGTTTCCTGAAATCAAGCTCATCTGCTGTTCTGATTTACCTGCTTGTCTGAAGAGCTCAGTAGCCATCATCAACCTCCCTCACCTGACTGCCCACTCTCTGGCACTACATGCTTTGCCATTCATCCATTCTCTTCTGCTTATCCTTGGGGGTGCTCTAGTCTATCACAGGGTGAGAGGCAGAGTAATCCACCAGCCAACCAGACTCCCCCATTGACTCAAACCTGGACCCCCCCGAGGATAACTCCATTCCTTGTCCTCTGACAACATTTTCATTCCAACGTTGACCTGGAGTAATCTTGCCTCTTTTCTCTCACAGATAGCACTTCCATGCTGCCCACCGGTTCCCAAGGCCATTAACTTAGTGCTCAATAAAGCTTTTAAATCACTATCAGTGTCCTGAATCTGTCTATTGTGTCCAAACATTGTAGGTAAATGGCCTGTATTTGTATAGCACTTTACTTGGTCCATAAGGACCCCAAAGCGCTTTACACATTCAGTCATCCACCCATTCACACACACATTCACACACTGGTGATGGCAAGCTACATTGTAGCCACAGCTGCCCTGGGGCCCACTGACAAAGTGGTCTTAAGGTGTGCTGACTGGGGACTACTAATGCTTATCAATAATAATAATAGAAGGAAACATTTTAAAAGATATAAAACAATGTGCTTACATTTTTGCTGAGGTAACCAGTGGAGATATTCCTGCATTGTTTGTCCTCAGAGTGGCAGCATCCTCCACATCTGTAGACGGACACACATGGTGGCTTATAGAAGACGTTGGTAGGAGCACCAAACTCTCTCCCCACATCAATACACACTTCTCTGGGAGAACACTGAGTCTTCCTCCATTCTGACTCTATACCTGCACACAGAGAGACAGTCAGACCACTGTTACAGTGACTTGTTGTTCTTCCTAATGTAGTATTTATCATGTATATTGTGGAGAGAAAAGCAGACCTAATAACAATCATTTGAATAGTTACATTTTAGTTTTATTACAGTGGCTATGATTTCTGTGCAAGATGTCAAATCGTAGTTGACTCATTCAATCTCAAATGAGCACGGGCCTTGGATTAGATTTAGAACTGGATACATTCACTAAAGCTTAATTATAGTAATTCTAGATGATCCAAAATCAAAGACGACTCACTCTCCTCTTTATGAAACTGAAAGAATTAAGAAGTAGAATTTGAAGAAAGAACATAATAAACAAAACATAAACATACTTTTCAGGATATCCAAGTTGAGGTAGACAGCAGCAAATGTTGGCTCTTCTGTATCACCCAGTGGCCTAAGCTGACGGACCTGTGACTGCTGGGAGAGTTTGGAGGATGAAGATGCAGCAGCAGAAAGTTTGGATTTACACTTCACAGCAGCCCAGTATGAAGGATAGATGAGACTCATCAGCTCATCTACACTGGAGGCTGAACGCAAACTCTGTTCCAAGTCTGGCGTTTTAGTGTCCTAAAAGTGAAAACAGACACCTTTACTCAGAACACTGCTTTCACTGAGAATTATTACATATTTTATAATAGTCAAATGAAGAGGGCTAGAAACACTTTTCTACCTAAATGACTGATCGTAAAATTGTATTTTTGCAAGCTAGAAATTTCAATGAGGTAACAGTCAAGGCCAAAGACTGGTTTCAAATTTGGATCAACACAGTTCAAATCAATATTGGAGTTAAGGCAAACATCCCAAACTAATTCATTTCAAATTGTCCAAAGCATGCCCTAAAACTTAAAGGTTATTTTCTTAAACGCAAATAAAAATTTCCTACTTTTTAATGTCAATGTTAAATACCCCTAAATTCTTCACAACAAAATCTTTAATCAGAGTCTCAGAAATATGACTCTGACAAGACTATCAGCCTAATGACTCAAAGCCTTTTCCTATGTAACCTATGTATACTGGGGACCTTTATTCATTTTTTATATCACCTGTTTTTGTGGGAGCGCTTTAAATGGCTTTGACTTTATGACTTTATGAATATAGAATATAGAAAAGGATTCTTCAGCATTCTTCAGCACTACAGCTTTCTTACTGCTGCCAGTTGGAAGACTCGAGGGTGAAACCACAGGAACACTGGGAAAAAAAACTTTTCTTTTCTACTACAAAAGTATCTGAAGTAACAATGCCCTTTTTGTTGCATCAACAACAAATAAAGTTTGTGCAAGATCAGTGAGGCAGTTCATCTTATTGGTTTACCATGAGCAAACACTTGCTTTGGATATCACAAATGAAGAACACGTGCTAGTGGTTAGCAAAGAAAGATGCCCAACGGATTTACTTTACCAAATGGACCATCCCAGCCTTGCCGTATTGGTCTATTTGATTCACCTTTGGTTTTATTGTTTATTTTATTTTCATTTGCTGAACATGGGACAGACTTGACTGGGGAAAAGAAAAGGGAGAAAGAAAGAGGCAAAGAAAAAGAGAGGGGAAGACGGACGGTGATAAAGGGCAAAAACCAAAAACCAACAAAACAAACAGACAAAAAATACAAATATCAATCACCTGGATCACCTGTTGAGAAAGAAAAAAGAGAAAACAAGCAAAAAAAGAGAGCAATATAAAAAACAACATCATCGCAATGATCTATGTGAATATAACAGTAAATACTAAATATTAAACATTATTGTGCAGCACGTAAGATCGACAGCGCACAGTGTGCATTGAGGTAGAAGCCAAAAAGGGTGTAGTTTGTGGGTGTGATCACCCATCTGTACACCTGTGAGCGTGAGCGAGCTTGTATTTAAAAGGTTCCTTCATGTAATGATCTGCTAGAGGGTGTGGGGAGCCATAGCCCCGTCCTTCTGGGCATGAAGCAGTTATGGAGGAGATCAAGGCCATCAGAGGCCCCAAGAGCATAGGAGACCAAGGAAGACCAACAGAGGGGCAACCGCGCCACTATCCCGGAAAGAGCTGAGGAGAGCCCCAGATGAGGGGTTGCTCAGCAGCTGCGGAGCAGAGGCCTCCATACCATTGAGGGTCTGAGATGTCCCCAGAGAGGTGGCGTCTGATACCCAACCTGACATATAAACACAGGCATACAGGCACACAGAGATACAAACATCCATTCCCACCATGCTCTCATATGCAATTACTCAGCACTCACCCAACGTGGAGACAGAAATAAATAGACACTGTACACTCAATCACACTCCCCAAGCGTACTCTATACCCCAGGTCTAGGTACCCTTGCCCCTGGAGGGGGAAACTGCACCAGACCCAGGTAGTGTTACCCTCTTCCCTGGGGTGGAGAGAAGCAGATGGCCCCGACTCCGCAGCAGCAGGGAGGCACCACACTCCAGACCCCAATTGGATGACCAACTCCTCCTCCCAGCCCCCCCCACCCCAACAGGCAACAGAGAACGGGTGTCTGTGAAGACTCCAAACCTCCCTGTAGTGTTGATGCATGTGTGTCCTAAGGTGCATTTAAAACCCAGGGGGGCATGGAGCTACCTGCCAGAGAGCAGCAGGTAAGCGCATAGTCCCTCCTGATAGCCCTCAATGTCTACATGTATTTAAAATTGAGAGGTGGGCAACGACGCCAGGGGTGAGGTTGTACACCCTGATGGTCTTCTGGACGACGTGTAGCGTGCCCACCCCCAAGGTCCGATATGTATGTGTTATGAGAGTGTGAGTAATGTGAATGTCTAAGTTGTGGGATAAAATTGAGGCACAGGCAGCCAGAAGGGGACAGAGGGGGGGATGCCTCCCCTGCACCCTGGTGACACACCTTTACCCCAAGGCCCTGCATGTGTGGGTGATTGTGGTGGAGCGGGAAGAGGGAGGCAGCTGGAGATGGGGAGGGAAGGAAGGGAGGGGCAGTGACCCCTCCCTGGGGCCAGCTCCCCCGCTGTCCCCAGTAGGGAAAGGGGGCCCAGGCCCATCTGGACCGGGGCCCAGTTCAGCAGCGCCGCCCGGCCCCACAGAGCCCGGGGCAGCCCACCCGACCCCACCACAGAGAAAACTGCACCCACCCCATCATCCACTTATCTTCCAGACTACACAAGACCATAGACACCCAGGCTGAGTTCTTCCTCCACCTCTCCTATATCTCTCTCCACCTGCAGAGTCAGTTCCTGGAGAGAGGAGACCTCCTGCAAGATGTAACAGCCTCCCCCACTAGTTGATAAGCCCACCAGGTGGCTCGATGCACCGGTGGCATCCTGCACCAGGGCTGAGCCCCCATACACCCACCCGCCCACAACCCCGGCGACACACCAACCAGGATCCAAGCTCCCAAGCCCCCAAGGCCCAGCCAGGGCCCCAGCCCGGAGACGGAGCACCCCCAGAACCCCCCACCTGCCCCGGACCCACCCAGGGACAGCCAGGCTCCCAGGTCAGTAACCCACGTCCGTCAGCACAGACCCTCCGTTAGCCCCGCTGCACGCAGCCACGAGGAAACCATCACCTAAGAGCCAACAGAGCCCTTAACAGGCCATGACCAAAACCCCGGGTTGAGCCCTCCAAGGAAGACGCTTCTGGGGAATCCCCCGACACCCCAAGCCTGTCCTCACCCTCACACCAATCACAACATTGAAGGTGGGACCAAACTATGACCCCCTACCCCAATAGGTGATGGAGCTGATCAAAGGAGCCCAGAGCAATTGATCTGATGTGGTGGTAGAGGCTGTATCAAGACTAATGTAATCTAATAGATAATTTCTATATTGGTTAGAATTAAGATTATTTTTATTTTTCCAGTTCACGAGGACAGTTTTCTTGGCTATGCATACGGCACTGAAAACCATATGGGCTATATTCTTTTCTGTAGTGACATGGAGTGCCCACTCCAGGTCGGGGAAAGTTCCTGCCCCAAGTGGAGGAGTTCAAGTATCTCGGGGTCTTGTTCGCGAGTGATGGGAGAAGGGAGCCGGAGATCGACAGACGGATTGGGGCTGCAGCTGCAGTAATGTGGACGTGTGCACCGGTCCGTCGTGGTGAAGAGGGAGCTGAGTGTAAAAGCGAAGCTCTCAATTTACCGGTCGATCTACGTCCCTACCCTCACCTATGGCCACGAGCTGTGGGTAGTGACCGAAAGAACGAGATCGCGGATACAAGCGGCAGAAATGAGCTTCCTCCGAAGGGTGGCTGGCCTCTCCCTTAGAGATAGGGTGAGAAGTTCGGCCATCCGGGAGGGGCTCAGAGTAGAGCAGCTGCTGCTCCACATCGAAAGGAGCCAGCTGAGGTGGTTCGGGCATCTGACAAGGATGCCCCCTGGGCGCCTCCTGGGTGAGGTGTTCCAGGCATGTCCCACCGGGAGGAGGCCCCGGGGCAGACCCAGGACACGCTGGAGAGATTATATCTCTCGGCTGGCCTGGGAACGCCTTGGTATTCCCCCGGATAAGCTGGAGGAGGTGGCTGGGGAGAGGGAGGTCTGGGCCTCTTTGCTTAGGCTGCTGCCCCCGCGACCCGACCCCGGAAAAGCGGATGACGATGGATGGATGGATCAGAGGACTGTTTTCTTGGCTATGCATAGGGCAGTGAAAACCATATGGGCTATATTCTTTTCTGTAGTGACATTATCTAAGCTGCCCAACAAACACACTAAAGGGGAAGTTGGAATGTTACATTTCAGACACTTTGATAAGTCTTCACATATCTCGCGCCAAAACTTCTGAACTGGTGGACAGAACCAAAGAGCGTGGATATAATTGTCCGGTGTATTGGTTTGACAGTGTGAGCAGTTGTTGGTAGACGTAAAGCCCATCTTGAACATCCGATGACCTGTATAGTGTACTCTATGTAGTATTTTGTATTGAATTAATTGAAGACTGGGATTTCTAATTAGATGAAAGGTTTTTAAGCAAATCTGAGACCAGAAGTTTTGGTCTAAGTTAACTGATAAATCCTCCATTTTGGAATGAAGTGATACAGGGAGTGCAGAATTATTAGGCAAGTTGTATTTTTGAGGAATAATTTTATTATTGAACAACAACCATGTTCTCAATGAACCCAAAAAACTCATTAATATCAAAGCTGAATGTTTTTGGAAGTAGTTTTTAGTTTGTTTTTAGTTTTAGCTATTTTAGGGGGATATCTGTGTGTGCAGGTGACTATTACTGTGCATAATTATTAGGCAACTTAACAAAAAACAAATATATACCCATTTCAATTATTTATTTTTACCAGTGAAACCAATATAACATCTCCACATTCACAAATATACATTTCTGACATTCAAAAACAAAACAAAAACAAATCAGCGACCAATATAGCCACCTTTCTTTGCAAGGACACTCAAAAGCCTGCCATCCATGGATTCTGTCAGTGTTTTGATCTGTTCACCATCAACATTGCGTGCAGCAGCAACCACAGCCTCCCAGACACTGTTCAGAGAGGTGTACTGTTTTCCCTCCTTGTAAATCTCACATTTGATGATGGACCACAGGTTCTCAATGGGGTTCAGATCAGGTGAACAAGGAGGCCATGTCATTAGTTTTTCTTCTTTTATA